AGCTGTAAGCTAATGATAGTTATATAAGAGCAGATGCATGCTGGTGCAATAAGCTCATTTTACGTCCAATGGATGCGCGATCTGATTAGTTGACTTATCGCAAAAATAATCGGTGACTAGTTGACTATCAAAATAATCGTTTGTGGCAGCCCTAGTCCAGTCAAAATCTACTAAACAGTACAGCAGACTGTTTTGCAAGAACCTGTGGACATGATGACCTCCTTTTAGTACCAACTCTGTTAAAAGATGAGAGGAAATCTTGTCATCCACTTTACAGAAACAGACAGATGGAGAAAGTGACTTCAGAGGGGAAAACTCAGTTGGCCAGTTCAGCTCAGTTTAACTGGCCATCTGTACACACACAACAGCCTCCTGCTGACACGATGACACAAACATTCACTGAACTCACGCACATATCTCCTCTTGCTAAATCACTCCTCAAAAGAGAGGACATGGGTCAGAGTTTGACAGGCTTTGTAAGTAAAGGCATTGTAAAACAATCAGAAACGCACACATGCACCTGCAGCGTGCTGTCCTTGCTGCAACTTACAGCAGGGGTGCTGACCAAATGGGCGACTAACTACCACCCGGGGTAAAATGAAAGAAAAGAGCTGGACGACGGGGATGTTAAGGCAGGGCTAGAGCAGAGGGCTGTGAGAAAGTGGCCCTGTGAGAATGGGATGCCTGTCCCTCCATCTGCTTGTCAGGAGGGGGGCTGGCTCGGCACAAAAGAGGCCTTTGTGGAGGTACAGTGACCTAGGAGAGTGGAGGAGGCATGAGGGAGAGGGAGGTGAGGCACAGCGAAAAGCAGGCAGAGGTTTCCATCGAAAAGACAAGAATTGATATTTGTATTAGAGTACAATATGTTCATATAAGCTGTCTGGATACAAAGGTACCAGTGACCCAATTGATCCTTCATCAGCTGCTGAGATTTCTGAACCTCTGTCAGACCACTTTTCCTTTTCCAGCTAAAGATGTACATCATCAAAAATTAAAACGTAACTTTATTTATACTGCTAAACTGGGGTACAGCTCAACTGCTGAAGGCTGTATTGTGTCGTTTTTATAGGGAAAAAAAAAAAAGTGTGCGATGGTGATGTTTGGGGAGCACTTAATTTTCTCCAGGCTTGACCTCATTAGGAGAGAGCCCATTTTTATTAGATGAATTCTTACTTTGTTTTATCCTCAGCGGCCTTGACGACAGCCATGTGGGCAGCACAGCTACAGCTTAGTTTAATTAAAAGTGAACAATTTGTCAGCAGCTGCTTTTGATAATTAAATCATGATTTATTTTTAATATAAATATTTAATTTCTTTTACATTCTCTCATGTGAGAATTTGATGCATTTCTTTGACATTAAAACTATTTTGACTTTTGGACTATTAACTACAACACAACCTTAGATTAAGGTTATGCAAACAAATAGAGGTGTTTTTCTTGTTTTTGACAAAATCAACGAATTCAGAAAGTCAGCATTGCGTTAATTGAGAATAAAATTAGTTGTTAGTTGTAGCCTGAGTGGGAAGCTTGAGGTGCTCTGCTAAAATCCCTATTATAAAGCTGATGAAGGCACATTTGATTACTTTTGGCTGAATTTGACATAATTTAGGCATAAGAAAAAAATTAAAATGTAGTTTGTGGGGGTTTTTTTAAAGAAGGAATTGACTTCCTTTCATAATTTTGTGATGACTTTTTTTCCATTTTAAGTAAGCACCAAGACAGTGGGCATACATCCAAAACACTTCAGAGAGTCTTTTAAAAGCTTTATTCCATCCACCTCTGTTGCCACCACCAGCTCAGTCTTTCAGGTATTTTTCAGGGTTGCTCAACACTATCATTTCAAACTGAACGTGCTTCCTCTACATATAGACACATGCAGAGAAGGAAGGAAAGAAGGGAGTGGTTTGGTTCTCAGATGAAGTTTGTTTTCTTGAAGACCTGCCCATTTCCAGGAGAACTAGGGAGCGGGTCTCTCTGGGTTGCGCATGAAACTTAATCTGGCAGGAAAAGCCAGAGGTGCTGGTTTCATCTACTCAAAGTGTTGCAACATGCATCACAGGGAAGCGCTCACCGTTATCGTGGTGGCTTCATTGGTCCGTAGCGTATAGCTGTCTGCTGCTTTCTTTGAAAGCATGCATGTGGGTTTGCGTTACAGTGAGAATGTCTTTTCCATTTATTAATGAATGAACAAAAGGATGTAGATGCATAAATATAAGTTGAACTAAATTCCTTTGTTCCTATTGTTTGACATGTGAACCCCCCCCCACATTCTCTTCCTGCTAGCTATCCGTTATTGAGGCTCCCCCTGCCTGGGACGGGTCCTGTGGAGTTCACCACAGGGCTGCGAGACTACAGCGTTCCTTTCCATGAGCCTCAGGGTGACTTTGGAGAGCGCCCTGACTGGGTAGGAGAAAAAACATGAAATCTATAAGATTCTGTATTTCTGTACTGTTTCTGACTATCACTTTTGTTTTATTTCCTTAGGATGTGTTTAAGCTTTGGCATTCAAACCTGAAATACATTTTAATCTTAGGCTTGAATATTCAAAAATGATGGCTGGGCAAAGCTGGAGGCTCATAAATAGTAAAACAGTGGCTCACACGATTTGTCAACACTAGTTTTAATTTGCTGTAACAAGGGGAATAAGAAACAAAGAATACCTTTTTAGTTAATATTAAATACTAATATTAAAATCAGTCAGCAGTAGTAGCTGGTTCATTGTACTTAATCACAATCTGTTTCTTAATAAGTTGCCTACATGTTTGCCCTAGTACCGGGGTCCTCCGGTCGCCTACATCCAGCAGGTGTTGGTGAAGGCAGCAGTGTCTCCATGGGACAACAGCCTGGTGCCGGTGGATGTCTTTCGGTCGCCTCTTGGTCGAGTCTTCAATCTGCTGGAAGAGATCCGCAACCATGTTCACTCTGACAGGTAAGCTTGGGTGCACTGATATGTGACGGTGGTAAATTTGCAGTAACACAATGGGGGGGAAAAAAAAATACTACATTATGAAGTGTAGCAGTGAAGTATAAGGAAGAACTAGAGCAGAGGGCTGTGGAAGGAAAGCTGTGAACCAAAAGCTTCTTTGAATTTAGTCCAAGGGGGGGGGGAGATAAACATCAATGACCTTGAGTTATTGATCTGTTGTAAACTACAAAGTTTATGGTTTGTTCTGTTTGACTAATCTACTGTATCAATGATAGGTCCCAGAACAGTTTGCTTTGCTTTTGTGCTTCTGGTTTCAATTAAATACTTGTTTAACTATTTTTACATTAACGATTTATTGCTGTTCAATACTTTATTAGTTTATTTAAATCTCATTTATTCCAGGAGCATTTGGTATCCGTGAGCTGTACTGCATTGATTTCCTCGTCTTCTGTCACACCTCCTCTTCTCTTGTCTTTACTGCTGTCTCGTTCTTGTCTTGTCAGCTCCGGCATTCGCAGTCTGGAGTCTTTGTGTCTCCAGGTGACAGATCTGTTTCCAGGGTTACGGCGGATGCAGTCGGTGCTGCCAGAGCATGGCTGCCTTCTTGTTTCTCCTGGCAACTACTGGCAGAACCAACGGGAGCTGTTTGACTCGGACCCCGACCCCCTCAAGACCATCCAGAAACATGAACCGAAAGGCTTGCACACCTCAGCGACATTGCGAGGTAGTAATTTGGAAAGCTCTGATTCAGTAGTGGCCTCCCCTCGTGTGTGTGTGTGTGTGTGTGTGTGTGTGCAGTAGGTTCTGTGTACAGTATTGCTAACAAACCATTCCCTTGACAGACCTTTGATCAACAAGCGAGTACATAAATATAACTCAGTTTGGTCTGCTACCATATTCTACTCAGAAAAAGCCCTTGGACATTTTTCTTTTTGAGGTTCTACTCACATTCTAATAATTGTTACTGTAACCAACTGTGTGACTTGTGTGATCACTGCGTACCCTGCCAAGGAGTGGTTAAGTGAATGTGTTCAGACAAAGTCTCTGTCACCGTCCACAGAGCATGTGGTGTCATCCTGAAGCGTGCCCAAGATTAGAGCTTCAGTGCTTCCTTAACTGGTCCTTGTGAAAATCGATGTATTAAGTAATTAACAAATCGTAATACAATAGGACATTGTCATTGTGTCCGAAATGTTCTCACGCCTGTCAGTAGGTGTGGGAGCATTTTTATTTTTTTTTTATTTTGACAAAATCTGAAAGCTCCAGTCCGGCCTGTGTTCTTATTGCTTTTTGCCATGCAATGATCCATGAGATGACTAATTCATTCTGAACTACAGGCATTTTTAAATAGTCTGTCAGAAACTGCCATTGGTGGTCACCATATTGAGTACCTCGTGCCTGTTGTATAGTCTGTTAAAGTGCAGGGGAAAAGAATGTGTTATACTCTGACTGCCTTGTTGAAAGTAGTCTGCCATCATTCAGCATGAGTAATTGTCGGTAGTAGTGAGCAGGGGATTAGTTGTATCAGCCAACTAAGAGGCTTTCGTATTGACAGAGAACAAGCAGTTTCATTCCTTGGGAACTTATTGAATTCTTTTAAAATGCTACCCACTGACATAGTGAACCAAGATTCCCCTTCAGCATTTTGCCACATCTGCCACTTCAAGAGATATTAAAGATATAGTCAGGGACAGCTTGGCTGTCAGATAAAGTTAGACTGATATGCTTGTTCACACTGAGCTGACTCGAGGCTTGTCAGCCTGGTTACATTGGGGATTATATTTCAGCTGCTCTTGCAGGGCAGGGGAGCCCCAAACTCCACCAGGTACCCAGTGTAAAATATATAACTATGAGAGATGGCAGTCAGTGAGGATGAATGTATTTTGAGGTCATTTTGTGAACGTATGGATGGATCTGAGTTTAGTGATTGTGTTCCAGGCTTGCATTCTAATGGCTTAGTTTTTAGTTTTATAGCAGTTGCCATTTTGGTTCCTGAACTTATTTACTCCTTTATAACTTCACCCTCATGTCTGAGACCAGAGCTGATGTATTGATTTGCTTTTCGAGTGAGCTTCAAGTTGCCGTTTAACTTCATTATTGAAACCAGGATGTTGTCACTTAGGG